CATTTCCACTGCTCTGTAAATTATAAAGGGTTTCGATGAGATCCCATTCTATCATTATAGCGTAAGCCCTTAACTAATGAATCAATCCTTGCACTTGCTACAGATAACAACCTATACCACTTAATCAAAAAAAAAACATCCCAACTTGATAACTTGATTGGGTGTTTTAGCAAAATCATAATTTTGCCCCATCTAACACTTTTTTTGATCCTTTAAGCTGGACCAGACCGTAAATTGAAAATCAAACCGATTTAAGTGCTCAGATGTTAGAAATAAAACTGCGTTACCGTCTACCCTATCCTGCAAATGGGTAAGAGTGTGTTTAGTATGTTTAATAACTGCACTATACCAATTTCTAGGATTCAATTGGTCTACTACCGCCCTACTACCGTAGTCCGCATAGTGTGGGACAAATATGATTTTCTTTTCAATATAACAATTAACCCGTAGGCCAATTTCAAGGGGAAATGCAGCATTTAAAGAGTTCGGGACCGGTTACGTGCAAAGCGTTGCTGGATTACAACTTTCATATAGAATTATTCATACATATTATTGCGTTGTAAATCACAAAGAGAGCCCATTTCTCAACCATTCCACCTCATTTATCAATGTGAAAGCATTAACCCGTATGCAAATCTATTTCCGTGTTCCGCATTTGCAAGCGTGATGCCAAGGAAATCAATTGCACTGCAAGGTAATAATAGCTCTATAGTAAAAAGAAATTATCCCTCCTCAAATATAACCCTCTCTTGTTCTAGATTCTAGTGATGTATTGATGTAAATCTGTATGGAAGTCTCTGGAGGAAACTACTGGATAACTCAGATTGTGGTAAACACAAACCGTTCAATAAAGCTTGAGCCAAAAGACGGAAATAAACGATTAAGCAAGAAGATACTCTCAAATCTGAAAAAAATATCATTCAAAACTTACACTTTTTGGCTGATCCATTCGAATCCTTCTTGACTTCTTTTTTTGAAGCTGCAGTCGTTTTCTTGGCTCCGGTTGGGAACACTTGGTCAATGATAAGAACAATGAACTAAAAAGAAAGAAACGAGCCTGACGCGACCAACCCAATGTTAAATTTGATATGATAAAAATACTTACAAATCCTAGGATGCATCCGAGTGCGAGGGTTACACCAGCGAACAGAGAATAGGAAGCCCACGAGGGTACTCCCTTCACTTCGACAAGGTGATTATGAAGATCACGTACAGCCATGGAAAGCTTGAAGAACACAGCGACAACGGCCATTCTGAATATTTTCAACTAATCCCACTATGAAGAAAAGTAGCCGTAAAATAAACCAGAATTATGATCTTAAGACAGAATTTGCTCTGCACCTATTATCCGCCACTATTTCTGCAGAAAAGATTCCAAGAAAATCTCAACAAAACCTACACTATTTCCTCTACAATTTGATAACGAAGCTGATAGTTTCTGCAAAATTGCCAATAAGCCGGAAAGAGATTTGTAAACATTCACTTAAAAAAGAAAAATTGAATGCATCCAGGAAAATACTCCTGTATCAGTTCATCATCCCTTACCGTTACAATAGATTGATACTTATCCCTTGTGCTCAATTTTCAACCTCAACATTTTTGGAACTAGGATACCGTCCTCTTC